AACGTGTTCAGTTTTGTCAGTGGTATATCCAACAAACTAATAGAGATCCCCAATTTTACAAGCATATAATTTGGACTGACGAGTCAACATTTACCAGAGATGGCATATTTAATTATCATAATGACCATACGTGGGCACCTGTGAATCCTCATGCTGTCAGGCCCTCCAATAATCAATACAGATTCAAAGTTAACGTATGGATGGGTATAATTGGAAATTACGTTCTTAGACCAATTATACTAGAAAATACATTAAATGCAGAGGCATTTCTTGATCTTCTTCAGAACGAACTGCATAATATATTAGAAGAAGTTCCTTTAAATTTTCGGATTAATTCCTGGCTTCAAATGGATGGTTGCCCTGCACATAACAGCAGGGAGATTCGCGCATGGCTAAATGAGCATTATGAAGATAGATGGATAGGACGCTTTGGTACAGTTAGGTGGCCTCCTCGAAGTCCTGATCTAACTCCGTTAGACTTCTTTTGGTGGGGTAGATTAAAATCTTTGGTATATGAAGTACCAATTGAAACTCGAGAACAGCTCGAACAAAGGATTTTTGCTTGTTGGGAGCTACTTCGACAGCAAAATGGAGAAGTGCGTCGCACAGTTGCTTCCGTGCGGAGAAGGTGCGCTTTATGTATCCGTCAAGGGGGAGGTTACATCGAAAATTATTAAGTCATTGTAAATATGTTACTAAGTTATAAATAATTTTTTCAACAATTTTGTTACTTTAATTTAAAAAAGCAGTCTTAAAATAAAAATAAAGTACTATAAAGTTTGTGTATTTTCGATTTTTACGGTGTTTATTACCTTTGCCCTTGATATTGTTGCCAAAAAAAAATAGTAAACTCAAAAGTTGATATATCGTTGAAGAGCTTACTAAATACAGTAGTTTTTGCTGAAGAAAAAACACGTCCTCATTAACAAATTTTTGGCGTTATCACCAATAAGGAGATACCACTAATTTTGCTCATTTCACAATTATTACATTTAACTTTTTACAGCACCTGGTATAGAAGATTTTTTAAACACTCATATATGCTCGTCTTGTAGTAAATTTAATGCTCTTTCCGATGGTATGTCTAAATTTGATGTGGCTGTAAGAATAACAGAGATATTTTTGTTTTTATGAAAAAAGGAGCAAAATTTTTTGAAATCAAAAAATGTTAAATAAAAGAGCAACTATCAACATTCCAAAAAAATCTTATATTACTTTTTTGTTGAAAATTACTTGTATAATAACCCCCTGAAGTTTGGCCATCAGCATCCGTTACACCCTGTATAATAAAAAATATATAAATAATAAAAAGCGCTTTTCGAAAAAGAGCGTTTTAATTTTTAAAACCTCAAAAAATTCAATATGCAAATTTATGAGATAAATTCTAGAGTGGGATCTTCTTTTATTATAGTTTTTTTATTCGAAAAAAATTATGTTTTCCAACTAAAAAAAATGTGTATTTTAATTTTTTATAGATTTAATAATTATTAAACCAAATTTTATTATGAAAGTAAATCGCGAGGACTAATTATTAAAAATACTGTATTTTTAAAACTACTAATAATGTTATTACTAAATTACTTTTTTTGCATAATGCCATAATACTTGTTATATTTTTGACCATTTGTATTTAGTAAAAACATTTATATGCAGAAAGTTTACGACGAAATAGAAAAAATCATTTACTAGAACACTTGACGAATTTTATTTTCTGTATTACTACATTAAATATTCTCGCCAGTGATAGGTACAAACTTCAAAGCATTTCACTCTTTCGTTGTTAATTCTATTAACGATTATTTTGTATAGGGTGTTCCTTAACGATATGCGAATATATAAGTGTGTGATTCTACATGGAAAATTAATGATAATCTGCTTTATAAATTATGGTCCAAAAATGTTCCGTTACGGGGTGTTAAAATTTTATGAAAAAGAAGAAGAAGAATGAATAGAAGAAAGAATTGAGTAATATTTTCTAAACCGCTTGAAATATTTCAATGATATTTAGTACGTAGTGATAAAGGCGCCTAATAAAATTATTTTTGAAATCTCCGTTCAATTCGAAAGATAAGAGCTTTCTTGTCCTGCGATGCGCCGTTTTTGAGCAAAAAAATAAAAATAAAACAATATTAAATAATAGCAGCCACAATACTTAACCTTAAGGTACACCACCTAAATCCTAAATATCGATAAATACATCTATACTTCGCTGTCGAAATTATGGAGAGCGACTCAGACCTAATATAAAAACACTATTATTATAAATCGTATAAAATATTTAACGATTTTTACGGCTTTTTATATCGATTCAATATTATTTGTAATATATTAAATGATGTGCCGCTCTCTATGCACATTGATAGGATCTATAATCGTCTAAGTATACACTAGTTATAGTTTTTCCGAAGTCAATTGAAGAACCAATAATTTCAAGGTATGTACCAGGTTCGGTCGCTAAGCAGCAACTTGGCATTAAAATTCATTAAATTTTATTACCAGACGTTTTTTTGCATATTCAACCGACTTACTATACTGACTTACTATACACTTAACGGCGATCTATCTTCTATCTCAGTCTATTGCACATATAATACTTATAAGCTTTTTTAGTAAACGGACGTACGTAGTACTTGATTTAGATATTGTTAGAAACGTCATATATAGAATAAGGGTACGCGCGGGTCGTTAGTTCGGTGGCTATAATAAATTTAAAAATTAAAAAAATACAACCGGGAAATAAAACGTAGTAATAATTAAGATGGATTAAAGTGCCAGTTATAGTAAACGATCTGTTAGTCATAAACCCCCTAACCTATGAGATGGCATCATTTTTTAGAAAACACTTAAAATTAGAAAATAAAATGTTGCTAAAATATTTTTGAACTTTTCTTGATAAAACCTCAAAAAATAATAGATGTTATGTTTTATTCTTTTTTCATATTTTCTATATCTTTTTGCCTTCTAAACTGATACGCCTATGGATTTTCGATCCCCACATGCTTCATCCTCCTTACTAGTCCAATAGCAATTCCAACAGAGGCATTCAGTATCGATTATTTATTTATGGAAACTCCATAAATTACATAAACTCCATAAATTAAACATCGTTATAAAGATAATTTCCCTTTTCTTCTAATAGGGCAAATACTCAATATGGCGTCCATAACTGAAAAAAAATTAACACAGCTCAGCACAAATTTTGAAAAACAAATGGGTCTCTTTCGAATGCTAAATGTTATATGCTAAATGAAAATGGATGTACAACAATATTAAAAATTTAATAATTATATTTTCAGTGTGAAAAATATTATCGAAGTACTAATTTATAACTACTATTAAGTTGCCAAATTATTCATTTTGCTTATACTTAAAGATATTCTAACCCCGTAATTTCTATAAATTGTTTCGCTTATTGGTGGTTAGTTTTGAAAATGTGGCGTATGGTTTTCCCTTATTGCTTTTAATAAAAAATCAGTAGTATACTTTGTGATAAGCAACATATTATTTATATATTTAAAAATGTCGAAATACTAAATTTCATAGAATTTTATGTTTTGAAGTATACTGTTTAGTCTAATATTATAAAACAAAGATCTTAAAAAATAAAATCTACAATTTTAACATCCCAATTATATTTGTTTTTGTACTTTTAAGATAAAATATGATTGAAACAATAACTTTAGTAAATCATGTAAGAAATTTCATGTTTTTCTAGAAACTGCGATTTAAAAATTTGTGTACATAGTACAAAATCGAAAACATATTTCATATAGGAAGTATGAGATTTTACACTCACGTGAAGAAAATTAACAACCAAAATTAAACCAAGCGATAATCACCTGTCGCGTCCTATTCTCTTCACTGGCAATTCTCTCACCGACTTTAGCCGGTCTAGCCTCGATTCCGAGGAATTGGGATACAAAATAATCCTCCAACAATGCACCTGACTCATCAGATACTACCTACTGATTGGAGATTAGAGACTCGCACTTTAGGACCTTTTTCATCTCGTCTCTGTATGACTCAACTTTGATTCGGATTCTAGACATATTAAGTAGGATACGTTCTTGTTTGTTTTTTTCCTGTAACTTAATATACACCCTCTCAACGGCAATTTATACATGAAGCTTTCAACTGAGCCTCTTCTCACTGTTTTGCTTTGGCACTTCGAGCATTTGTGCTCTTGGCGCTCTTTCCACGGTAGTTTTTGCTTTGCCTGCGCACTTATTTTGGGCCTCTTGGAGCGCTGGATTTTAGGTTAACGAGCCACTTTATTATCGACCATAGGTCTCTAGTAATTCCTGGTCAATTTGGACGGATACAATGAGTTTGAAAGCTTATGAACCAACTAACTACTGGCAAGAAACGATGATTGACTCATCCGGACAATGTCAGGGTCGACGTTTGATCACAGGTTAGGGTGATTCCGCCAAGTTCTGGTATGATCTTTCGGCGATCTTTTATGTCGCTCCAATTATTTGGGGAGTAAAGCGGGCTGTTTAATTTTTGCTTGTTAACCTTGTCCTGATGTTAAGAAAGTAAATTAGTGCTATTTAAGGTGTGAAATATGATGTGTCGGAAGTTTTGAAATTGACATAGTTTATTTTTATCCAGTCCAATAAGAATCTCGGATTATACTGAATCAATATAATTTCACATGTTAAGATACTATAAAAATAAAAATCAAAATATTTTTATTATTATTCCTTATCACAATTTCTGTTTATAAACATTCGTAAATATATGTTGAAGGGAAGAATTGATAGCAGTTGTACATCAAATATTGTCTATAGCAAAAGTAATAACATGTTTGCTCTTTCTCGCATATCAAGAGTATTTTTATATAGTATAGTATGTACCTACTACTTGAATATCATGGTATAAAAGGTACAACTTCCATAGGAAATCTTCTTTTAATCTCAGCTAATGATTTAAAAATGTTTCTCGATAGTTCCTAAAAACTGTCAATGACCACAAAATGTTGAAATAAAATATTCAAATAATTCGCTTAACACTTTATTTTATTAATACATAAATAATACATAAAGAAAGTGCAAGACTATCTTCATTTACAGTAACCAGCTACCCAGCCAGGTTGTTTGTGACAGTATCCTGAACAGCAGTTCCCTTGACGTCCGTCAGGTTGGCAACCGTTACGGTTGGCAATGCAAGCATTAGCAGTCTGATGAAGAGCCACAAGGGCGAAGACGACAATGAAGAAAAGGTTGAAGAATTTCATCTTAAATGATCTGAAAATGAATATAAAATTGTTTTAGGTTTTTGTTGACCATTACTTAATTACGAAGACAAAATTGTAAAAAAATAAAAAAAATGAAGATCAACCGGCAAGGATTGCTGAATGGAGATAAAATTGATATTTGAATGCAAACTAACAAATATCTATGTACTAAGCACAGTTATAATATTGGCGCACCATAGAAACCAAAATAATGATATTATCAGTTAAAAAATGGTACTTACTGTTAATGAACTGATGAATTCACGACAATAACTGATGTATGTTAAAGAATTTTTTTCGTATTTATAGTACCATTTTGTTTGTTGCGTGCGAAGTATTAAGGACCAAACGAGAAACCTCTGACCCCCGAAATTCTATTAATTATTGTTTGCTTATTAGATGTCAGTGTTGAAAATATTGTTGTGCGGTTTTTCCATTTTTGGGCTTGATAGGAAATGTGTTGCTTTGTGATAAGAAATGGTCAATAAATAAATAGGTCTGTTATTTGCATGCGTTATTAACGTGTTGAAGTATTGCATATCTATTAAAAATTTGACCTACGTTCAATATTGTTTACTGTAACGTCGCCAAATTTTATTAAATTATTGTTTATTGTTTCTTTTTTTGGCAGACGGTGAAAGTCCTAAAAATATACAGGGTGTCTCGGTACTTGATGCAAAAAAGTCGAGTACAAGTAGACAAGGTCAAAATAATATCAGTTCTTCATATAATTTTTTTTCATACGGACCTTCGTTAACAAGTTACGGGCCCTCAAAGGTGAAAATTAAAAAGTTATTTTTATTTACAGTTTCTAAAATATTAACTTTAGCATGACGCAAATTTGATGATCGATGACATATGCGTACAACTTGATTTTAATGTTGTAAGTGAAACTTCATTATGCCCGGAACGCCAGGGACGCATTTTGCCCAGAATTTTTGCATGTATGACGATCGCACTCTGCCTGTATCAAAAATAATCCCGGCGCGGTGCCTACACCATTTTGTGTAGAAACAAATAACATTCGTAGACTTAGGAAGTGTGTGGAGGTGGAAAGTGCCCATATTGAAAATGTATTTTGATAGTTTTCTTTCTTTTAAATAATTTTTTTAACTTTAACTTATCCTTGTTTTCTATTTTGTGTTATGTGTAAAGTGTGTTTGTCAAATTTTGTTAGTGAAAATTACAGTAGCAGAAAGTAAGATTTTCTAGGCACTTATTTTAAAAATATGTACTCTTCTAACATAGTAATTAAGTACAATTAATAATTAAAAACAAAAAAATGGTGGAGGCGCCGCTCAATGTGCACTGTGACATAAAATCATAAATATTTCTTAAACTGTTAATTTTGCCGAGTTGAACCAAGAGGGTATTTTCGTTTGGCAAATTCTTCAGGGAACTTATTTTTTCTACATGCAGATTGTGATCGTCATCTATGCAAAAATTATGGGTTGATAACTATTGGGTATAGTCCGTCCCTGGCGTTCTGGACATATTGAAGTTTCACTTAAACATCCAAAACAAGCTGTACCCATGTGTTATCGATCACCAAATTTGCATCATGTTAATGGTTTAGAGACTGTAAAATAAAAATAGGTAACTTTAATTTTCACCTTTCAGGTGAAAAAAAAATTATATGAGGTACTGATATTATTTTGACCTCATCTATCTGTACTCCACTTTTTTGTATTAAGTAGCGGGACACCCTGTTTAGTTTCGCAAAAGCATTAGAGAAATTTGGGAATATAGTTTGAAAATATCCTGTATATACAGGATGTCTCATAGCTCTACCAACATCAAGCAGTAGGTATGCCAATTATTAAATTTAATAGTTCTACCAGTACCTATTAAGGAAATTTAACTTTAAAAAATTTTTTACTTTCACAAATTTTTTGAAAAAATAACGTTTTTGAGAAAATCGGGATACAACCGGTTTAAAATTAACAAATCACTTTAAAGTCCCCCAGAGAAAAAAACCACATATATTCAGATCTGGTGATCCTGGTGGCCAATTTTCTGGACAACTGCTTCCTTGTCCTATCCATCTATTCGAGAACTGCTGATTCAAGAAGTCTCGTACATAAACACTAAAAAGCGGTGGAGCACCATCGTGCATGAACATGGGGTGATGCTTACCCTTGCTTGGGGGGGGGGGTGAATGTGGCGGACTCAAAAATACCAGCAAAGGATGTCCCCCTTTAATCTAAAATCGACGGGTCTGAGCTACAATCTTGACGCAGTTCCTGAAAATGGCTCTGTTTCGTTTTCATTTGGCCACCCTGTATAAGTGCTCTCTAACCTGTTGTACGGTATAATAATGACCTACCCAATGTATCAACAATACAACAGTATACAGATGGAAACAAATATAACTAACAACAAAGTTAAATTTATATCAAGATCTCAAGAAGCTGTTAATTTTTGTAAACGAATGATATTATTGCTAAAAACATTGACGTTGTGCATATAGTGAATGTTACAACATTAAAATAGAACTTAACCAAATCAGTTTATTCACATTTCAAAATTTCAGTTGGACGGGCAACTTTTATTTCAAACACGTATTTATTATTTAATTTCTGCCTAATTTCTAATCCTGAATTTCTAAAATTCTGTTTAATCATCGGATGTCAAGGTCTACAATAAGCTGTACATTTTAATTAAGTGGTTGAAACGACTTTACATTATTTAAGAAAAGCCAGTTATTTTTTCTACAAAGTATTTTAAAAGTTATGTTTTTGAATCAATGAATACAAACTGCTTTAAAAAAATAATTAGTTTCTTATTTTATTTACGGTTTGTAACTTTTAAAGATTGCTAAAGTAAAGTATAGCGAGGCCAAACAATATTTTTTTCGATACAACTTTCACACATTGAGGCAATGAACATATGCTTCGAAATATTTTCGTCAACATGTTACTCCCACATTAGATATGTTTTCCAGATAAATATCTCATTAGTATCTGTTCTGATGAGTATTGTAGTAGAAAGTAATGATGGATGTTTTAAACTGTTTATGTTTTTAAAATTATTTAGATAAAACAAATGTTTATAAACATTCGTAAATGTGTGTTGAGGTCAATAAATTGATGATAAATAATAATGCCTTGAAGATTGTCCACATTTTCTAATGTATTTTGAATGTTTATATAATGTAGGTTCCACTTACTACTTAAATACATACCATTTGAATAGCCTGATATAAAATTTCCAGATTTTTAAATGAAAAAGTTTTGGCAATTTCAAATATTTTTGCATTAAATATTTTGAACCTGTAAAGAAGCACACTTAAAACGAAGAAATATAATAATTAGTATATCGTGACACTGTCTAATGTAATACTATAGACAGACATTCGAAATAAGAATATGAGATCTCTAGTTTTTTGATGATTTTACACCAATTTATTGATTTCACTATGTTAGGTACATACATTTTCAATAATACTTTTGACAAATCATTTTTTATTTTATAGAATTATTAACGTCAACTATGCGTATTGTGTTATTATTTTAACATATCCAGATATTCGGTATCAAAGACTACATACATATAACTTACTTCTAGGATAATTTGAGAAATGTTTGTAGAATTAAGCTGTATTCTATTCTCTAAAATTATTTATTTTGGCATAGCTTTAGTCACCCATGAAAATAAATAAAATATTAATCAAATACAAAGAACATATTTTTTATTCGTCCAGTTCTGTTTTTAATGTGAAATTTATATCTAGATTATAATGGGTTTTATCAAATTTGCTTCACTGATGGCAAAAAAAAACAAAAATAAACCAATGTTGTGATAGCTTAATATCTGTAAGGCAATATACTTAAAGTTTTTGAGAATAATATAAATATTATCGTTAGTAATGATAATGAAATACTAATATAATATGTTTGCCTTTTTTTTATTAATATCATTTTGGTACATATTATAAGCGATTAAATATTTGGTAACACATAAGTAATATACATATAAAAAAGTTCCATTTTATCTCCTTCTGCAGTAACCAGCAACCCATCCAGGTTGCTTGTGGCAGTATCCTGAACAACAGTTTCCTTGGCGTCCGTCAGGTTGGCAACCGTTACCATTTTTAATACAGGCATAGGCAGTCTGTTGAAGGGCCACAAAGGCGAAGATGACAACGAAGAAGAGGTTGAAGAATTTCATATTGATTTTCCTGAAAATTAGACACCATACTGTATTATTGAAACAGTTATTGAATTTAATTTGATACAAACAAATGATTTGCAATTTAGGAAGAATTTTTCGGAAAATAAAAATAAAATATTTTAAATTAAAAAAAAAGCAATATATAGGTACATCACACTATAACAATCATATACTAAATATGTATTTTAATATTATAGCAAAGCAGAATGTATAAAGCGTCAAAGATGAAATATTTTTTATTAATGAGATAATAGAAGTAATGCTTACTATTAGTGAAGCGATGGATATACAGCAACAACTGACTTGTGTTGACAATTCTTCGAGAATATATAGTAATTTTAATATCTGAATAATATAAACATAAACAAATTATTAAGGACCTTACTGAAGAAATCTCTGGAACCCTGGAATTTCTACCAGTTGTTTATTTGTTACTGACCAGTTCTTGAAAATTTATCGGTTGGTTTTCCCGATTTCGTTTTCGATAGGGGTGTCAGTTGTCTTGTCGTATCGTAGCGCATATAATAAGAATTTATACATACAATCAATGAGTAATTTGCTTCGTTTATTTTCAAAAAAGTCAAATTCATTGAAAAATAATATTATTTGCTTGATATTTCAAAGGAATAAAAATAATTCGAAAAATTTCTGTTAAGGTTAGTTACAAAACTATCCTTATTTACAACCGATTTTGATGAAACTTATGAAGATCCTTATGGTATGATTAATGCCTACAATTTTATTCCATTATCTTAACCAGAAAGAAACTTATTTTAAAAAATATCCTAATGATAAGACTCCTTTGGAGCCATATCTCAGTAACGGTGCTCCGGAGGACCATGTTTATAGGAACTTTTTTTACTACTTTTGGCTCTACTTTCACCTCCTCAAATTTTCCAAACACGCTGTATACATAGATTAATATAAAAAAGTACATAAATCAACAGGGTCTTCCCTTTTTAATTGAAATTTAAATACACAGACGTATCTATTAATATTATCACGTCGCCACGGTAGCGCAGTCGGTCGAGAGTGCGGTGGCAAGCATTTCTCGGCTAGGCTTCCTACTCTGGTCCGGGTTCGATCCCCGGTGTCGGCACTGGCAATGTCGATGGATAATGGGTGTTTGTCCGCGTTTTTTCAAGTGTAGCCCCCTTCCGCACAAGCCTTTGGCTTTTGGATTTGGGGGTTGTCTCATTTCTGTGGTGTATTTCATGTTTTATCAAAATAATAACTTTGTACACATACACCGTGTCCACCTAGTGCGCGTAAGTCCAATATCTAGGTTAATAAAAGATATAACTTAATTTTTTTTTCTACAGAGTTGCCTACTTTCCTGAGCTGCACAAAATGAAAATGTATTTGAATATACAGGGTGTTCAGTTTTTCCTGGGCAGGTACCAGCTTAATTTTTTTTAATGGAAACCTATATTTTTATGACATTATCGAATTCTACATGGAAAATTAAAGGGACTTTGTGTTATGATCCCTATTAAAATATTGATAGTTTTGGAGATAATCGACTTTTCATTTTTTTTCTTATGTTTCGTCACTTCTAGTAGTTGACATAATTATGATTGTATGACAGCTAGAATTTTTTTTCAGGAACTGTAGAGTGAAGATGGCTCTTTCAAAAAACGTATCAAAAGTTGACCTGCGATATACAGGGGGCAAAAAAAAATCGTGCCAAACCTGATAATTTAAAAATTTGAAAAATCTCGACTTTTTTTCAAATAGAACACCCTGTGTTTTATGATTTCATTAGATGCCTTTCTGTAGACCCTACAATTTTTTAATAGCTTTCCCTATACCTATGTTGCGTAGTTTTTGAAAAAAAAAAAAAAACATTTTTATGTAAAATACTGGATTTGCGCCCGTGCAAGTGATTCTTGAAAATAGAATAACTCCGACAATTAGAGTTATTTATTAATTAAATTTGGCATAGGTAATTTAAATGCAATGAAATTTAACCAGTCAAATCTGCAAAAATTCATACAGGGTGTTTGAAAACGTGTGTACTGTGATGTTGAAGTTGAATTTACTCAAAAATTTCAAACGGTACACCTTGTATATTATTACATTAATAGATGCAGAATCCATTAAATTTACTTTAAAATGATACTATAGTTGCCTATATCCAAAGTCAACAGTTCCTGTGTAAATTGAAAATTATTGATTTAATGCATTTCAACTAATTACAATTAGAACTATCAACAGTGCCAAATATGTAAAAATGTTGATGATTTTAAAGGAAATTAATTTTTAAAGAGTGAAAGTGGAAAAAATAACGAAAGCCGTAAGTGATAAGGATGAATTTACTCCGAATGGTAAATATAAAAAAAATCAAACAGTGGACGGAACTAGAGCTTCTTGATTTCAGCCGTAAACATCAGAGTATTTATCATCAGATATGAAAAATAAAAAAATTTGACTAAACGGACAAAGAGTACCATATACCGAAAACGGGAATACGAGTTTCGAAAATATTTTTCTTGGAATGTAGAATATTCTTTAGTATATTGCACAAATGTTCAAGGACTAATGAATGAATGAACTGAAGCCAGATATTTATAATGGAAAATAATGAATAATAATAATAATAATAATAATAATAATAATAATAATAATAATAATAATAATAATAATAATAATATCTCTACTCCTCATTCTAATTACGAGAATTAGCCCAGAAGTCGGAGACTTGTGCGGGAGAGGAGGCGGCATATTATTATTACGCAGGCCGCATTTGCGCCCAGGAACGACTTATGTTGGTAGGCCCTAACCACCATTCAGTGCAGGAATGAGGGAAACCTGGAAAACCTCATTAATTAGGGGGGCGGTCAAATGCCAACCGGTGTCAATCTCTCACATTGACCCAAGCCAACATTCTTCCACCCTACCATACCTGCACAGAGGGCGCCAATCCTCCGTACAAGTATAGATAATCTACGGTCACCGGCCGAGGGATTCGAAACCCGGGCAGTTCGACACATCGATTTAAGTACTGACGCCTTAAACCGTGCGGCTATCGACCGATCAATGAATGTTCATAAATTCCTGTAAATTCCTCAAGAAAGAACTGCATATCCTTTTCACCTTCCATTCCATAAATCGTGAAAACTCGGTTTCGTAAATTTTCCTCGATTTAGCTTTCAATTATTTTAGTGATCTACTTTCGCAACTTCTACTAATTCCGGTGGTGTAAGAGAAAATTCTAAATCAGAAATGTCCATTTTTGATCTTTGAATAATTAAAATAACTAATAAATTCTGATTTTAGTATATTGTAATAATATATCACGCTGGGAGACAAACACAACATGGAGCTAAAATCTAATACTTTTTTCCCTTGTATAATAAATAACAATTTATTTGGTCCTATTAACACGTTTGTGTACTTAAAATGATGCAGCATTTCTGACGGCTCCATCGTCTTAAGCGTGTTAAATACAGGTGATTTATCACACTATGTTAATAAGTAAGTATGTGAATTTTTTTGTATGCCTGTGTAATTTGAGAAATGAAATGAGAAATAATTAAAATTCTCTAAAATTATTTTTTGTGGCATAGTTTTAGCCACCTGTAAAAAATAAATAAAATATTAATCAAATGCAAAGAGCGTATTTTTTTTAGTTGTTTCTTAGCATCTGATTTATGTGTAGATTATCAGTGTTATCAAATTTACTTCACTGAGGACAAAAAAAAACAAAAATAAACCCATGCTGTAATAGCTTAACATATTTACGGCATATGCTTGAAAGTTTTTGAGATTAATATTAATATTATCGCCAGTAATGAAATACTAATATATGTTTAGCATTTTTTTTATTAAAATTATTCTATAAGCGTTTAAATTTTTGGTAACACATAAGTAATATATTTATAAAAAAAGTTCCATTTTATCTCCTTTTGCAGTAGCCAGCTACCCATCCAGGTTGCTTGTGACAGTATCCTGAACAACAGTTTCCTTGACGTCCATCAGGTTGGCAACCGTTACCATTTTTAATACAGGCATAGGCAGTCTGTTGAAGGGCCACAAGGGCGAAAATGACAACGAAGAAGAGGTTGAAGAATTTCATGTTGATTTCTCTGAAAATTACACAACACACTGTATAAGCTAGCTGTGATATTTTATTTCCCAAACAGTTACTGATTTAATTTGATACAAATAAATGATTTGCTTAATTTACGAACTTCGGAAAATAAAAATAATATCTTTTGAATTTAATAAAAAGAATATACATAATATAACAATTAAATAGAGGTTATTTTAGATATCAAAGGAAAGTAGAATGTACTAATGCGTCAATGATGAAAATAATTTTATCAATGAGATAATAGAATAATAATACTTACTATTAGTGAAGCAATGGTTATACAGCAACAACTGATTTGTGTTGACAATTCTTCGAGTATATATATAGTAACTTAATATCTGCGTAATACAAACAGATTATTAAGGACAAAACCTCTGGAACCCTGGAATTTCTACCAATTATTTATTTATTACTGACCAGTTCTTAAAAACTCATTGCTTGGTTTTCCCGATTTCGTTTTCGATAAGGGTGTCAGTTGTCTTGTCGTATCGTAGCGCATCTGACAAACAATCAGTGAGTAATTTGCATCGTTTATTTTTATCATTAGTATGCATTTACTAGGATAAAAAAGTAAATAAATCTACAGGGTCCCCCCTTTTTAATGTATTAACTTTAACAGTTCATAGACGTATTTATTTTGAACAAAAAACCTAGACGCAGGGTCGGATTTATTTATTTTTACCTTTTTATAGTTGTATCCAATGTTCTTGAAAAATGGCATATAAACCGTTTCCGTACAACCACCAGGGGCGTAGTAGCCACTGTTCTTTTTTTTTAATAGAATTTTCAACTTAAGTTTTTTTTGGAAAACGAAACGCTGTTCTTGAAAAATTAAAGGGTCAATGACATTATCACATTGTAAATAAAATCAATCCCCTTGATTATTTTTCCTAGAGTCATATGAAACAGCAGAATTATGCTTCTTCAACAAATACAAGGGAGAAACTAATATAATACATTAAAAATTCTGCACCATCCATTATGATAGCTTATTTATCAAACTCAAGGTCATTATTGTGTAGATGCTAGTTATGTTTCGAATAGAAGGACATCCAATTTGTACATCTTTAATTTCTGCTCACTACTACTTATATTCTCCTGTCGTTACAGTTTGTTATTAAATAAAACAAATTTATATTTATAGTTGAAATAATTTTTCAGTTCAATTTAAATTTTGTGTAATCTTTATGTGCACTAAAATGATTTAACGACATTATTTACTCAGAACCTTTTTATTTTATGACAGTTTTGTAGGAACAGCTTTTTTTAAATTGATTAATTCATAGGAAGAGAAATTCAATTTAAAAAAAAGACACCAACTATTCGTCTACCAGGAAACTGGTAGTTGTACTGACTGTTTTTTAGATATTACGAAAAAAATTGAAAAAAAATAAATTCGACTCGGTTAGGAAGCAATTGACGACCTATATCCACATGAAATTTCTTGTTAAAACAAAGTCCTCTAGCAACTGTTAAAGTAAAAATATAAAAAGGGAACACTGTATAGACATATTTACTGTTTTATAAATATTTTTTTCTATATTTCAGGAAGCTTCAATTTTAATTCGGACTTTCTTTTATTTCAACAAGGTGATTTAAAATAAACGTAAACAAACTTCTAGAGTACATAAAAAATAAAAAAATATGGAATAAATATGTTGTCTAAGATCCCCTTAAATCAACAAAATGTAACAAAAAGTCTAATGGCTTTTGCGACTAGTACCACATTAATATGAAACAACACAAAAATAGGTTTAATTTTTTTTTGAGTTGTTAGATAGAAATTGGAATTTTCCCAGTATTATACCGAAATTTAAAAATTTCATTTCGAACAATATGTTGGCCTTCAGTGGTAGGTGTACGGTGTACAACAAAAGTTATCTATCAAGTTATTATCTAAAATGGTTCAAAAGTTGCAGTCAAAATAAGTTCACCCTTTATATCGACAAATTTTACCCATTGGTAGTCGCCTAAATTGCCGCATCCTATTATAGTATTTACAGACTTCCTTGAAAGGTTCTGTAAAAGCATAACTGTAAATGAGTGTGGGTGAGATACAACCTACAAAATGTCATATCTTAAATGTAACTGTAATGCTTACTGACACAAAGTAGTACTTTTACCTACTGATGAGAATGACTTGTTTGCAAATGCGAAATAAACTTTTTCAGTAATTAGGGAATTGGTTTTTTAACTGTGAGATATGTAATAAAAGAAGAAAAATATCAACTTAATATTTCGAAATAAAGTGATATATCAAAGTCCCATTAATTTTTTGAGTTCCATCTATTCCTGAATTTTTTCAGGATTAAAGTGGGACACCCTGTTGTATTTTAAGCGAAATATCGTATGCCCTAGATAACGAACCTCTGGCCTGGGATTTCTACCAGTATTTAACTGTGCTCAATTCATAATAATTTGTTGCGTTCTGTGGGCGGATTTTCCATCGGTGAGAGAGGTAGGAGGCTATCAACAAATAAGATTGTGAACTCGTACAGGGTCATTCATCTCATACAGACACATTACTAGGGGGTCATACTTTAAAAGCCAATAAATAATTGTAAATACAATTTTTCGGAGCACTTTCTTAATAATTAAAATTCGTTTCAGTGAAATTATGAGTAGAATAAGTTTAATTTTGTCTTCTAATATTTTGTGTACATACTTTAAAAGCATAGTTTAGGATCCATGTCTGGTAATGCTTTGTGTGTTTTTTTAACAATAAATGGGATAAATCAGGCAGGGTACTTGCATTGCCTAATGTAATAAGATTTATTATACAGTGAAAGGAACAAATTGGTATAAAATTCAGGTAATTATTTTGTGGAAAAACGCTCGGACACGTCGATTAGTATTTTTAGTTGCGAATTTTTTGACAAGAAAATTGTATACAGTGGTTCTCAAGAAAACATTATTTTTTGTATAATACTATGCCATTTTTGAATTGTACGGTAAATTCTGAACAATTTTTGTATAATATACCATATTTCTAAAATCAGCGGTTTTCGTAATAATGACTAATGAATAATGAATAATGAGTGTTTGAAAATTGATATTTTGAAATAACAGGTGGTCTATGGGAGCGGGAAGTTTTGAAAATATTATTATTTCAATACTATACATAGATTGCCGCGGATTTGTTTGACAAATTATCTGTCATTTTATGCCATTTAGTAATCATGGAACAGTGGTCCGGCAAACAACGTAGTTTTGTGATTAAGTCTTACTACAAAAATAATGATTGTGTGGTCACAGCATAGGGGCAATTTCGAATTAATTTCAACATTTCTCGTCACGGGAGTGTTCCATCTGCCCATGCCATAAAGGAGTGGGTTCGTAAATTTGAAGATACTGGATCAGCTGGAAATGTCAAACATAAGGGACCAAACAGAAGTGTCAGAAGTCTTGAAAACATTGATCGCGTTAAAGCATCTGTAGAGCGCAATCCAAAACGTTCAAGTCAAAAACAAAGCCAGGCCTTGGGCTTATCAAGGACAACTCTTCTTAAAATTTTACACAAGGATCTCAAATTTCATCCTTACAAATTCCAGATTGTCCAAGCATTGAAACCAACAGATCTTCCTGTTCGCCTACATTTTGCTGAAACGATGCTACAGCAGGAACTTGACGTTTACAATTTATGGATGTTTGATGAAGCACATTTCCATTTATCTGGGTATACCAATACCAATAAACAAAACAGCCGTTATTGGGCTTTGGAAAATCCACAAGAATTTCATCAACAGCCGTTACACAGCCCCAAGGTAACAGTATGGTGCGCAATATCTTCAATGGGATCGTAGGTCCCTATTTTTTTGGGGATCACAATGAAAATGCTTTAACAGTCAATGCTGCACGCTATACTGTTATTAACCAGTTCATTACACAGCTACTGAATATGTTTCCACAGAACAATAGCTGGTTCCAGCAAGATGGCGCTACCTCACATACCGCAAGAGCATCAATGGATTCCGTGCAAAGATTGTTTCCAGGTCGTGTTATCTCCTGACACGGAGACATTGAGTGGCCCCCAAGATCGCCAGATCTTACAGCATGCGACTACTTTTTGTGGGGCTATCTAAAGCCGGGTCCAGACGCTAGGTTTTCAACAACGTTTTACCTACGCAGTTATAAAACGAGAACAAAACGATGCAAATCAAACGCGTCCACACGGTGTAGATATATTTGCGCAATTTTCGCGAGATCGACCATGGAAGAAGTACTGCTCTGGTCAATTTATGCATGTTGTCTTGCAAGAAAAAAGCAAATAGAACGTTTCAAACGTACCCGGCGTTCAAAATGGTCAAGAAACTGGCTTCTAAAAAAAGATCACTTTCCCCACGTTAGACTACTGCGTGAATTGCGTGATGAACAGAATGACTGGCGAAACTATTTGAGAATGGACGTAGACACATACACTAATTTATTGGAATTAGTAAAACCGTATATTACGAAAGAAAATACTTGTATGAGAACAGCAATATCACCACATGAAAGGCTGACAGCAACTTTGAGATTCCTAGCAACTGGCAGAAGTTATAAGGACCTGGAATTTACAACAATAATGTCCAAACAATCATTAAGTGAAATCGTTCCTGAAACATGTGAAGCTATCTATAATGTGCTGAGAAATGTGTACATGAAGGTAGGTCATTATATAATTGCATTACAATTTTTATTCGCAACATAATAGTGTTTTCGTATAATATAAATACAAACAAAAACTACAAATAACAAAAATAGTTTACAAAAAAATTGGCTGAATAAATAATGTACTTCAGTACCTATTCAGTTTGTTTGAAATTTTGAAAAGTAGTCTGCAGTAGAAGAGTTGTCATGATGAGATCTAATAACTTCAGAAGGCGCTTCAGCATCTCGTTCAGTTAAATTTTGTGGCATTTGTTGTGCTTGTCTAGCTTGTGGCAGCAAGAAATGCTGGTCTTTTGCCTGATCACTTTGCTGTGGGATGATGTGTGGAACTTGCTGCATTTGCCGAAGTGTTTGTTGCTCCTGAGAGTGTCTAGATTGTTGTTGTGTGATGTAGTGATGTGACATAGGCTGCGAGAAGGGCTCATATTGTCCAGTTTGTGGGGGTATAATATGTGACAATCCCAATTGTATAGACATATTCGCTTGCCACCCATTCTGTCCACTTATTAAATCGAAATCATGCCGTCGATGGCTGACATCAACAATTTGAAAATTTCTGCTTAGCGAACCCATCTCCGCTTCGAATAAAATGTCGGATATTAGTTTCTGAGCAAACTTGCTCTGTTGGCTATTGACGCCTCGGAGTTTATTACCCACATACTTTCCAAACACATCGAAATCATCATCTGCCTTTAACGATTCCAGTTTCTTTCCTACCAGCGCCATCACTTCAGTAGTACTGTCATCATTTGAAAAACCCTTTCTCTTGCGAGATGAAGACTGTGACGTGGAAGTACTGCGGGACATTAGTCTACTATAACTGGGGGTTGATGTTTCAGAAACAGTAGCTGAAGTTGCTGGCCCTCCATCGCGTCCAGCATCAGCATCACTCTCATGTGCATCTGCCTCAAGCTGAAAAGATTAATGAATTATTAATTTGTAATTTGTATTAAGTATTTTGTAGTTAACATTTTATGTAATTTTTTTTCAGTTTCCGAAGACCGAAGCGGAGTGGTTAGAAGTTGCAACTGAATTCGAAAGAAAGTGGCGAAAGAGGCAGTTCCCTCATTGTTTGGGGTCGATTGATGGCAAGCATGTGAAGATTGTGCCGCCTAAAGGAAGTGGATCGTATTACTTCAATTACAAAAAAACTCACAGTATTGTTCTTATGGCAATAGCTAATGCGAATTGCGAATTTCTATATTGTGATGTAGGCACAAACGGCAGGATTTCAGATGGTGGAGTCATAAATAATAACAAATTTTTTGAAAAGCTCGTTAACAACGAGCTGAGAATTCCAGGAGCCCGGTGCATTACAAATTCAAAGGAAGTTCTAGGATATGTCTTTATTGGTGATGAAGCCTTTGCTATGCGTCCAGAGTTACTTAAGCCGTATCGGCGAGAAGCACTGACCAAGGAGCGAAGAATTTTCAATTACCGCCTGTCAAGGGCGAGGCGTGTTGTTGAAAACACATTCGGAATTTTAGTTTCACGATTTCGTATTTTTTTCACAAGTATTAATTTGAAGCTGGATAACATTGATACGGTAGTTCTTGCGTGTTGCACTTTACATAACTTTTTGCGCAGACAATCCCCCCAGAAGTATACACCTCCTGAAAGTATGGATCGGGAAAATATTGCTGAATGTAGTGTTGAATTAGGTGAAAGATGTCACCCCGAAATATTACACGATCTTCAACGTGGAACAAGAGGCCAAATTTTGAACAGTGCTATCGTGGTTAGAGATAAATTCAAAGACTACTTTAACAATGAGGGGGCTGTGCCTTGGCAAGATCAATTTGTAAACTTAAATAATTAACATATAGACCAGGGTTGATAATTTTAAAAGACATACAAATTAAGTACAGGATGAAACCTGTTGGATAAGGTAGAAAATATCGTGTTGATAACGAAAAAAAAAAAATTAGAATGAATCCGAGGTACGGGGGATGAAATGGGGTGTACTTTTAGGGCAAAGTGCACCCCATTTCATACCCTTTACCTCGGATTCATTCTAATTTATTTTTTTCGTTATTAGTACGATATTTTCTACCTTTTCCAACAGGTTTCATCCTGTACTTAATTTGTATGACATTTGGCCTTGTTAACACGCTTCTGCACTGGTCTAATAATAGTGTATTTCTATTCATTAATCACATTTGTGAACTAAAGTTACTTTTTCCATCGCTATGGCTTAAGGAATAAAGGTTAAGTAAGGAAAAATGTATTTATTTATCTTACCTCTTGATCCGTTGCTTCAGAAAATGTAGTATCTTCAGTAATTGTATTCCTGGACTATCTTGGTGTCTCTTGGTCGTTTAAAAAATGTAACAAATCGAAATACCACAGTGATGGCTTGTACACATCCTCTTCTCCTATCCCAGATCGAAGCGATTTGTTTACTTTTGCCAATTCTTTTCGGTAAACAGACCTCAAAGAATTAATTTTTTTTATTACTGTTTCTTTATTTGCAGCAACTTCAACCTCTTTGAATTTTTCTACGAGTATCTCGTATGCCTGGCTCTTTTTGTCTCTATCACTATATTCCCGTGACTTGACACGCCAAAGACACGGGAAACTTTCATATAATGCAATAAATTCTGTAAGACACTCGCGGAAACATTGGCGAAGGTCTGCCATTTTGCTCGAATTTACCTACTGAAATGAGCAAAACGTAGCAGAAAACGAAGCCACCGTCCACACGCAACGACTTGTCCGCGCAGTTCACGGAAAACTATGCTCTTCGCTTCAGTTTTCGCTTGGCGCGTACCGTCTCCGCGCAGTTCCGAAAACTGCACGGTTTTCCTGTCCACACGCAACGTCTTGGCTGCAACGTTTCGAACTGCGTAGATAAAACGTTGTTGAAAACCTAGCGTCTGGACCCGGCTTAAAAAGCAAGGTGTTCATTGACAAACTACGAAATATTCGGGAGCTGAAAATGAAAATTCGGGAAGAAATTGCTAATATTGCGTTGGATATGTTGCGTCGTGTTATGCAGAATTTCAACGTTCCGCTTCAAGAGTGTATGGAGAGAAGAGGAGGCCATTTATCAGGCATATTTTTTAAGAAATAAAAATGGCACACAGTTATCTTGTTATTGCTATACTTTGTTTTAATTAAATACAGTTACTTTCGGAAATACGTCATTTTCAAAACTTCCGGCTCCCATGGTCCACCTTGTCCAGCTTGTACAGTCGGCGCCACCCAAATGTGAACGGCAATATTGTACCGTGTAATTTAAACTCCAAATCATAGTCGTCGTAAAATTCAATAGTTGTCAAATATATACTTAGAGCAAACAGAATGAAATGTAAACAAGTACGAGTAACGTGAAATATGCAGGAGCATTTAACTGAGGAGCAAAAAGCAAGGGCTGTAGCTAAATTAGAAGATAAATTGGTCTTTGAGTGAAGTGGCTGCTGATTTAAATGTCAGCAAGAGTTGTATATTTTATATTAAATAACAAAGATCACAAATATATATCAGACAAGGTGTCGGGAAGGTTTCCAGTGACGCGGAAGACAATGCCTTGGTCGAATTTATCGATCAGAATACCCTCTCTGTGTTACGCCACTAAGAAAAGTTTGATTTACTACGATAAAATCCGGAAGAAATTTCCATAACAACCGCGCCATTATTCTATGGCTAGAAATTGGCCTCAATGATTTGGGATCGAGGGGGATTATCCCTCTTTATCCTGTCTCATCTCGTGTAGGCCTGGACAGCCTTCGTAGGTGGGCCCCATCCGTCGTCTACCCCGACCGCAATTGCGGCCGGTGTAGGCGCTTTGTGGGACCTCCTTTTGTCCTGGCTGGGCCCCGCCGGCTAGGGCCCTTTCTTCTGGAGCCATAACAACCAAAATCCGTTCACATTTGGGTGGCGCCAACTGTACATACAAGTAATTAAATAAAATGTTTAAATTGAACGACCTTGAACATGTTTTTAAAAGCCAACAAAAACAACCTGGTATGCCACATTTTATCTTAAACAAAATAATTTTCTTTGCATTAATCGTTTTTCATTCCTTTATCCCTAGACCATTTTGTGACAATAGTTTGTCAGTGTCATTTTATCAGTTTTACGTTTTATTTTAAAAAGGGATTTATCTGAGAAAGAACGCATTGAAGTAGGTACTTATGATGATTGGTTTTGGAGACAGAATGCGTACTCAACAAGAAGTGTGTAATTCATTTAACGTAATTCATCCTGGACACATAAAAAGACAAAACTGCAGGTACTGGGCAACTGAAAATCTTCGTTGGACACAAGTCTTTTATACACAGCATCGTCCAGAAGTAAATATTTGGGAAGGTATTGTCGAAAACCGAAATTTAAATGGAGAACGTTACTTACATTAGACTTTCTTCAGTTTGAACTCATCCCCCCTTTAGCTGTTGTGTGTCCTAATCCACAAGATCCAGATATTTCTTATAATGACATATGGTTCCAACACAATGGGGCACCTCCTCATTTTGCACTTATTGCTGTTCGACAATTTCTTGACTTAACTTTCCCTAATAAATGGATAAGACGCAGAGGTCCTATTGTGTGACCACCAATGTCACTGGAATTTAACCTCTTTAGATTTTTTCTTATTGGGTTATTTGAAATCTAAAGTTTATGTGAATAGACCAAATAATCTTGATGGTCTGAAACAGAGAATACGCCAGGAAATACGACTTATTCCAGCAGAGGTAATTGAAAACGTTCAACAGGAAACAATCTTTCGGCTACAAAAATATATTGAAGTAAACGGACAAAACATTGAACATTTATTATAAATCAAGTGTTATTTAAATAATGTTTTATGATTAAACATATTTTTTTCCATTTATCACATTTCAAACGTAATTATTACGAAAACAGTTGATTTTAGAGATACAGTATGTTATACAAAAACTGTTCAGAATTTATCGTAGAATTCAATAATTGTATAATATACAGCGCGTTCCATAAAAAAGTCAATGATAACTGCATAATGTCCTTTTTGAGATACCCTGTAAACAATGTTCTTATGTTAAAAAAACCGCAACTAATCGACGTGTCCTAGCGTTTTTCTAGAAAATAAGTAGGTACCTGAATTTTAATCGAATTTGTTCCTTTTATCATGAACGCACTGCATAAATAAAAAATGCTTTGTTTCTGGGACATACACTTTTTTGCGTTTCTTTTTGTACTGAAAATTTTTTGTGTGTAAATAGTATGCAGACGAGACAGCAAGTAATAGTTGTTAATTTTTATTTATTTCATTTTTTACAAGTATTTTCCCAACGACGTAGAATTATAAACTATGATGGGTCAGTTTTGACGACTCTTGTTCTTGTCAACATATTATTTTAGTTATTACTTGTAACGATTTAGTAAAAGACTAGCGTCTTTCCGAGAACTTTTTTTGGTACTTTTATATATTTTCCGACCCACAAGACAGCTTCACGAAACTAGTGTTTATAAAGTCAACATTTTTCGAACTTCTAAAATTGCTCCGAGAGTTGTCAAAAAAATAATTGATACTATAACGATTCTATATGATAGTTAAGGGGTTCAAGTAAATATATGTAAAAAAATCGCGCCAATTAATGACATTAACATTCACAAATGTCTCATGCTAAAACTATCAAACCGATTTGGATGGGGTTTTGGGATATAATTTTGTAATACTTAAATCCACATTTATAGTAGAATTGAACAATTGCTTACCCGTTATTCTATTTCTAGAGGGACTTATCATGACATGATTTTCCCGGATGAGATTACAATTTTTCTCTATTCTTTGCAACAATTCGGCTCGTGTTCATAAGCCCAACAAGGACTGCAGCTTCAAAAATAAATAAACAAAGCTAGTTATAGTATTAAAAAAAAACATAGAACACACCACAGAAATGAGACAACCCCCAAATCCAAAGCCTAAGGCTTGTGCGGAAGGGGGCTACACTTGAAAAAACGCGGACAAACACCAATTATCCATCGACATTGCCAGTGCCGACACCGGGGATCGAACCCGGACCAGAGTAGGAAGCCTAGCCGAGAAATGCTAAATGCTATTAAAACGAGATAATCGTAAAGCTTAATTAAATTATCACCTAAACGGCTGCTATTATAAAAAAAATGCCAAGAATCACTCTTCATTAATTTAACGAAAATTTTCATATTCTGAAGACGGAGCGATCTTCAGTAGCACGACAATAGTTAATTCAATAAAAGGTCTAATTACGTGAATACGCTGTAATAAATTTCATTCAAATCGTTTAGCGTGATATGAAAATATGACCGAAAATATAATTTTTTTTTTGGAAAATTGAACACCCTTTATCTCGAATACCACGTCCCCAGGAAAAGAGTTTATAGAGCAAACTCTACTTATTTTTTGGCAACTAATCTATTCCTACAGTTTCTGTATTTAAAGTGAAATCACCCTGTATATTATTTTCTTAGCGAATATCTAATCTACGT